TAATACAGTTATACAATATTGAACTCAGTATAAACCCTGTAAGATATAAATTGAATGAGTTTTTACCCTTTAAAGAATATCTCCATTTCATTTTAAAATATGCTTTCCTACATTTTTAATGCTATGAATGCTAAGATGTTTGCACATGTGTCTTTAATCTATGTATCTGATGATTACTAGTCATAGTCAGTTACACTTGGATCCTTAGTACCTGAGTATGGATATAAAGTCATCAGGTAGATTTCACTGGTAATGTTTATCAACTCTACTATTTAACATGAAGTAAATTTTTATACTTCCTCCTCAAATATGTCTTTTATTTTTAGATTTGTTGATTTTTCTGTGCATATACCATACAGAACATCCCACACAATCTTGTTCATCTATATACCCACTTCCCAAATGGCACCCTCCCATAGCCTCCCCGCTCCCACATACCAGAGCCCACATACTCTGTCATCCCTGTTACTGTCCACTGTGTACATCGACACCACAGCCATTTTCCAGTGCTTCTCCGTCAGCTGAATCTAGTCAACCTATCTAGAGATCCTTGTTTTAGGAAGATCAGCTGTTCCTCATCTAGCAGCAATCAGTTGTCAAAATTCCTTTAGATAAGATTGGGGTCTGCTGTTCATTTTCCTAGTTCTATGCTGGAGTACTGTCTGGGAGTGTCTTGGGTGAAATAACTCAAAGGAAGGTATCACCTGTCTGGCATTGTTGCTTCTTATGTAGCCTTTAGCTATACATATGGACTCTTAAAAATTATATTGATCCCATTAATCTTTGGTTACACTTTCCTTTTGGATGTTTAAGGCCCTACAGTTGGCCCAGATAAAATAATTTATTTTTACTCTTAAGGCTGTTTGAGGATCTGTTCCTCAGGGATAACATGGGCTTGGGAGGAGCCTCTGGCTCCTTTCTTTTACCAGTTCCGTCTACGTGAAGATAAGTCAAAGGTCCTCCTCGACCAGGTCTAGCTTCGCTTGGAAGCATGGAGGAAATGATTCCTCTGTGTTGACCCTCCTCTTTGTAGACTGGACACTGGTTCAGGTCCATCTGGTGGGGTCTCCATGGCCTCCTTGCTCAAGAGGACAGGTGAATTGCCACAGTCACAGGACATTTTGAGAGATGCTCATAGTCCCCTGGAACTTAGTCAACCTAGGAGGGCAAGGAGCAAAAACTGTCCTTTATGTCCCCCTGACCAAATTAGTATAAGCCTCAAAGTATGGCTGTTAAACATCCAAGAAAGTTAGTTCTACCAATCTGGTACTTTTAATTACCATATGCCATGTAGATAGAGCTTGAGCAAAGACCAGACACCCTCAGATAAACCTTGCCTAGGCAAGAATATTACATTCTTTGATCTGGTTTTATGTATAATTTGTCAGTAGGTTGTTGGCCTAATATGGTTCCCTCTGGTTTTCCAAAACTAGCTAGGCATTGTTTATCTCTCACATTGTCTAACCCTTCCACCATGGTTTCCCCATTTAAGGTACCCCTGTTTTTTACATTTCTCCTTTAATAATGCCCTTCTCCTATGGTCCCACCTCTCTTCTTTCCCTTTATCCCCTAGGCTCCTTGTATAACCTTCCCTCCCCCTCCCTTAAACTAACCCAATTTTTATCCATATCTCCCTTATTAACAGTTTCCTACTGTTCTTCTCTTTCAGGTTCTTTCTTTTCCTTTACCTCCCTGTTTCCTTTCCATTATCCTGGTTCCTGTAGTTATGTCTGGATACATATTCACTTATAAAGATTTGGAGATAGGATCCACATATGAGGGAGAACATACGCCATTTTTGTTTTCGTTTTGTTTTTTTTTCTGAGTCTGTGTTACTTGACTTAGTATAACAGTTTCTAGTTCCATCCATTTACCTACAAATTTCATGATTTCTTCTTTCTTTACTGCTGAGTAAAATTCCATTGTATAAATGAACCATGTTTTCATTATCCACTCGTCAGTTGAGGGACACTTAGGTTGCTTCCATCTCTTAGCTATTGTGAAAAGAGCAGCAACAAACATGGATGTACAAGTGTCTCTGCAATAGGATGA